TAATCTTGTCAGTTCTGTTACTTTAATTTTCTTTGCTTTCCCTTTTAATTTCTGCTCCTGTTTTAGAGTTCCTAGGATTGTCTACTCCTTACCCTTCAAAAACAGCAACCCCGCAAAACCAAGGAATAAAGAGCACTGCTTTGGGGGGTTTTGTTTTGTCTAAAGAAATTCAGTTGTGACACTGGGAGGGTATTTGTTTGCTTGTTTCTTGAGACGGGGTCTCATTATGTAGCCCTGGCTGGCCTGGAACTCACTACTTAAACCAGGCTGTCATCAAACTGGGAAATCAACCTGCCTCTGCCTCCTGGGTATGCTGTCCTCTTGTTTTGTAAATGACAGCTGTCCAGTATGATGCAAAGGAAGGAATCAAATACAACAGTTTTGTTGATAGCCAGAGAAAGGAAGAGCCAATATTTGCTGAGCCTGTGGGCATGACTGATAAGTAAGTGTTATGAAGGGACATGAAAAGAACATCGTGTGACTTCTGAAAGAGTTGACTAGTTACCACCCACACACAGTGTCAAGGGGTGCAGTGTCCCCACTTAATGAGAGGGGTGTCATGGTGGCATGCCTTGCCACTAGAGATGTGTTCATCTTACAGGTGTCAGGACAGTCGTGAGAACGGTGGACCCGCAGAGAAGTGGTGTGGGGTTTTATTTATGGTCTAGCCAAAAGGCTCTAGAATTGGAGATCAGTGTTAAATCTTTGGTATTATCCCCTTTATCTGTGCATTAGAGGAATTTCAGAACCTAAGACCCGACATTTAAATGGCAGTACTTCAGTAAAGAGGACACTGCAGACCAGCAGAAAGCCATCAGACACTTTGGGGATGGCTAGTGCGCGGTGGTCATTCTGGAGTTAAGTTCTTTGATAACACCCTTTTAGAGAAGACTGTACAAGGTTTTGTTACCTAGACCAGGACGCCCGTAAACTCCAGATCTCCCTGCTGTAACTTTCTAGTGCTGGGATTATGCCTAGCTACAACTAATCCTTTTCTCTACTTGTAATGAGTAACTTTGTAAGAGAAGCTGTTTGGCTGACTGGTTCCTTTTATTGTTATTATAATTTTAGCCTTTATTTTTTTAATGTGTATGGATGCTTTGTCTTTATGCATGTCGGTGTGCCGTGCCAGAAAAGAACATCAGATCCCCTGGGACTGGAGTTATAGATCATTGTGAGCTGCCTCATGGGTGCTAGGAATCGAACCAGGTCCTCTGGAAGACCAGCCGTACTCTTAGCTACTTAGTCATCTTTCTAGCCCCTCTTGTTATTATTCTTATTAAGATGGGGTCTTGCCCTGTAGCCTAGGCTGGCATTTAACTTACTATACAGCCCAAGCTGGCTTCAAACAAATGAGTTATTTTCCTCAACCTCCCAGGGGAAGGGAGTGTTGGTGTGTGTTGGCACATACTGCCTCGATTGGTATGGTTTTGATTATTGTAAAAGCATATTCTGTAGCGGTAAACACGGAGTGAATAACTTGTGAGTAAACTATAAAATCTAAATTCTGGGTACAAAATACAATCCAGAGCAGACTCAGAGTAAAGTAACTTGAGTAGACTACATACATTTACACTGAGTACATGTATTAAAAAGAAAGGCTTTTAAAAGACAGCATGTGGGTCAATTTACTTATTTTTTTAGTCTCTTGGAGCCTTTTTAGGCTAAAATCATGATGAGCTTGAGGAACAAAACTTATTTTCTCTACTTACTTTACTTTGCTGTCTTTAATTGTTTTTATTAAATTAAATTGTGTGTGTTCCCACGCGCGTGCGTATGTGCTGCTATGTGTGATCCATGGCACTGTGTGGAGGTCAGAGGACAGTTTGTGGAAGTTGTTACCATGTTAGGTCCCCAGGGATGGAGCTCGGGGCATCAGTTTTCACAGTTTTACCCATTGAGCCATCTTGCCAGTCCTCTGCCTGTGTGACCTTGTACAGTCTTCTCTAAAAGGGTGTTCACTTGTTCTCATTCACAGGGACCTGCTCCTATGCAGCAGGGGCCTTTCTTGAGGTCAGTCCTTGGAGTGGATGGAACAGTGACACCTTTCTGGTGGAGCTGTGCTTGAATGTCACGGCTGGCAGTTGGCTTCGAGCAGGACTTTTTGCTTTGACTTTTAACCAATCTTTCTCCTTAAGGGAGAAAAAAAAAAAAAACCTGTAACCCTCTCCAGGGCTTCCCACAAGTCTCTTTCTTTCTCTTTCTTCCTTCCTCCTTCCTTCCTTCCTTCCTTCCTTCCTTCCTTCCTTCCTTCCTTCCTTTCTTTCTTTCTTTCTTTCTTTTTTCTTTGTTTGTTTTTATTGTTTTGGTTTGATTTTTGAGACAGGGTTTCTCTGTGTAACAGCCCTAGCTCTCCTGGAACTTGCTTCGTAGACCAGGGTGGCCTCGAACTCACAGAGATCCACCTGGCTCTGCCTCCAGAGTGCTGGGATTAAAGGCATGTGTGAGCTACCACACCCGGCTAGCAAGTTAGTTTCTCAAAGTTCAGTACGGCAGAGTTTGAAGTAAGGCGCGCGCGCGCTACCTGCACATACTGTGTGCTCTAAGACAAGGAGGTGCTGGCGTCCAGCCTCCTCTGTTAATACGTCGATGTAACATTTAGTATTGTAATTCAGCTGGCTTATGATTTTCAAGTTCAAGGGGCTATGAATTTAAGTTAGCAACAGTTTTAAAACATTCTGACTTACAGGCAACTTCAGATGCCTGCGGTTATATAATACACAGTCAGCATTTAATGGTTTTAGGTCATATGTTAATTTTTTTAGCTCACCGAGGGCAGGGATGGGACGTGTCTTCAGTCTGGCCGTTGTACTCTGCATCACTCCAGGGCAAGGTCTGAGGCATGGCACTGTCAGTGAACAACACCAGTCCTAAGAAATTTTCTACATGCATTATGGAAAATTTGTTGCTGTGTCTTTATCTTTGGTGGGGTTAGTTTTGTGTGTTTGTTTGGCTGGTTGGTTTTGAGACAGCTTCTCTGCTCCAGGTTGGCCCAGAATTCACTCTAGCTCAGGCTGCCCGGAAAGTCTAAGCCGTCATCCTGCCCCCCAAGTGTGGGGTTAGGCGTGAGCCACCATGCCTGGCTGCTTTGTCGTTTTTCACGTGAGAACCCAGTCTCCCATCCAGAGGAAAGCAGGGCCAGGTCACCGTCTTTGTTCCTCTCTTGAGGTGTGTGATAGACTTTCTTTCTTGTTGTAGCCCAAGAACCTGTGCTCTCTTGGTTTCCACTGAAATGATTTTATTTGCAAGAGAAATAAATTGAAGAAGTGTTTGTGATTTAGTTTTACAAGAATAATGCCTTTTTAAAGGGAATTTTCAAGAAGAAACTAAGAATCCATTTTGAGGTACCAAGAGTTGGAACTACAACCTCACATTTGTGAGACAAGCCCCTGAGTTACATCCCCAACTCTTTTATTCATATTTGGGGATAGAATCTTACTAAGTTGTCCGGGATGGTCTTTGCCTCCCGAATGCTGAGACTGCCTGCAGACAGGCTGCCGTACGGGGTCATTTTCAAACCCCCGTTTTCCCCCCTTGAGACCTCATTACAATTAGTCTGAGGCAAAATTTACTATTCACACAATAGTGAAGAATTTTCTTATTATGAGCGCTTGGCTTTTATTTTCTAATTTAAGGATGAAAATAGTGAAGGAAAAAAAGTTTTTTCAAAAAAAAGGATCATGTTTTTTTCCCCACCAGAAATGTTCCATAAACATGTACCTTTCGGTAGAGTGAATTTGGCTAGTCCACTGAACTTCGCCTCTGACATCCACGGCACACATTAAATCCCCTGTGGCATTCTGGACATCCAGTTACGGAGGTACCCATCCAGGCAGGGACCTTTCTGCTGAAGGCTAAGTGAACACTGGAGCCCAAGTGTTTCCGTAAGTGGAGACGATCCTGCGGTCAGGAGAAACTAGGTGTTAGTATTTTTATACTTTTTGGTGGTTCAGCGCTCCAAAATTTTCTTTCATAACAATCAAAATAGCTTTGTTCACATAACATGTTTATGATTTGGGCGAAAACACGCAACCATTTCCAGGAAACATGGGTTGTGTAGCCAACTCTTTATTTTAATCTTCACTGCCACCTTGTGTCTCAACTCTGTATTACATCAGTTTGCTAAGACCTGCCTGCTGACGCCTTAACTTTGAGCTGTTTCTGCACTTTGGAGAGATTACTTTTAATTTCTGTGGAGGCGGATCATTTCATTTGGATATACTTTTCTAAAGATTAAGGTCAGTTTCACAGTACATAAAGTTAATTGTTTAGCTAGATTCGTTGTGCTATTCTGGTTTCTAAATCCTGATCTAAAGAATTGATTCATCACTTGACCTATTTGAGGCAGACTTAGTGTCTGATCTGCATATAACGAGTCTTTGAAATTGAGAGAATTACTAATTGAAAACATAATTATTTTTTTTAAATGCCTGTCAAGTTCTGCTCATGCTGAAGTAGTTTGAGACATGGCGAATGATGTGGAAGAATGGGATGAATCACGGTTTTAATAAGTTGGTGTTCTGATGCTGGCATTCTAATTTTAGAGGCTTTTTGTACAAAGTCTCACTGTGTGAAGCCCAGGACTCATAGAGATCCACCTGACTCTGTCTCTCTAGTGGGACTACTAAATGCATGTGTTACCATGTGCAGCCTTTTTTGTACCTTTTATTAAAAGCAGCACCCATCCCTGAAATTACTTCAGGGTATGGGTCAAAGGTACAGCTAACACTAATGAAAGTGGTGTGTGTGTGTGTGTGTGTGTGTTATCTTTTTATTTATTTATTTATTATTTATTTATTTTTTTAAGACAAGGTTTCTTTGTAACTTTGGTGCCTGTCCTGGAACTAGCTCTTGTAGACCAGGCTGGCCTCGAACTCACAGAGATCTGCCTGCCTGCTTCTACCTCCCAAGTGCTAGGATTAAAGATGGGTGCTGCCACCACCCAGCAGTGTTGCCTTTTTAAAAAAAGGCATTCCAGCAGGGTGGTGGTGGTGCATGTCTTTAATCCCTGTACTCAGAAGACAGAGGCAGATGGATATATCTGAGTTCAAAGCCAGCCTGGTCTATAGAGTGAGTTCTAGGACAGCCAGGGCCACACAGAGAAACCCTATCTCAAGAAAACCCCCAAAACAATAACAACAACATCATCATCGTCGTCGTCATCATAGCAACAACAGGCGTCAACACCTGACCGTTTAGCATCAAGAGCAGTGAGACTAATAGTTCACGAGGAACTGCTACTACATTATAAACCACTAACTTTTGTTAAGTGGTCTGGGTTACTAAAACAAAACATTCAGAAACATTCATAGGGACTGGAGAGGTGGCTCAGCAGTTAAGACTGCTGCCTGCTCTTCCAGAAGACCTGGTTCAGTTCTCAGTACCCACACAGCAGCTCACAACTGTCTGTAACCCCAAGACCTGACACCCTCACACAGACATGCATGCAGGCATGAGTGCACATTAAAAAACAAATAGCCAGCTGTTGGTGGTGCACACCTTTAATCCCAACACTCAGGAGGCAGAGACAGGTGGATCTCTGAGTTGGAGGCCAGCATGGTCTATAGAGTGAGTTCCAGGACAGCCAGGGCTACACAGGGAAACTGTATCAAAACACCAAAAAGAAAAGAAAGAAATATTTGTGAATGGTAGTTTGTGTTATAGAATATAAACTGACTATCCTGGCTAGTGATGAATAGGGCAGAAAAGGACCTCATACAACCCACAGAAACTAATCGGGGCCTACATTTTACGTTAACCTCGTTATAAGATCTTAGGTAAATCATATAATGTCTCAAGAGTTTCTGAAGTTTTTAATTCTTTAGATATTTATTTACTTTTTTTTAAGGACAGGGGTTATGTATCTCTGGCTGTCCTGTAGCTCACCATGTAGATTAGACTGGCCTCAAGCTCACAGAGCCCTCCTTTCTCTGCCTCTTCGGTGCTAGGATTAAAGACCTGGGCCACCACACCAACTTCCTTTTTATCTAATGGTGTGAGTATTTGGCCTGCATGCGTGCCTGTGTGCAGTACCTTCAGGGCCCAGCAGAGAGCACCAGAGCCTTTGGAACTGGAATTAGAGATGGTTGTGAGGTGCTAGGAATAGATTGTCTATAAGAAAAGTCATAAGGTTCTGTGTGAGAGTAGTCTGTGCCCCTTTTTGCTTTTGTTTTTCTTAAAGTGGAATGATTTATTCTTATTTCTATGTTTTTATATGTATGAGTGTTTTCCTGAATGTATGTCTGTGGACCACATGTATGCCTGGTGCCCAAGGAGGCCAGAAGAGGGCTTTGTTCCCCTAGAACTGGAGTCACAAACAGTTGTGAGCCACCATGGGGGTGCTGAGAATTAAACCTGGGTCCTCTGGGAGGCAACTAGTGCTCTTATCTGTGGAACCATCATCTCTTCAGCTCTGTGTGTGTGTGTGTATGTGTGTGTGTGTGTCTTTCTGTCTGTACTTTCTAAAGTTATTCTTTGACAGTTTCATACATGTGCACTGTGGCGCTGGATTTTATCCATCCCCAACTCCTTTGTGGTTTGGGGTTGTTTTTTGTATCAGTAAGGTGGTCTTACAATACATAACCTGGTTTTATAATCCCATTTTAGAAGAGTTTGTGAACCACTCATAGTTAACTCCATAGGATTTTTGTGAAAATTCAATGAAAAACCTATAGAAAGCTACCGAACCTTCCGGCAGACGTGAAGTAGGCTGTTTGGTTGTGGATCCATGCCTCCCAGAACTCAGGGCAACCTGCCTGCCTCTGCCTCCCGTGTGCTGGGATAAAGGCCTGGGCCAGCAAGCCCAACTCCAGGAAAGGTCTTGAAACGTAATCTTCCTTCAAGAAAAACTGGCTGTACGAGTGAGGCTGCAAGATGCGGTCTGTGAACACGGCAGGCGTCACTGGGAAGGAAGTGTGGAGAGATGGATAACCAGAAGGGAAATTCAGTTGTGTTTCTTCGCTGGGTGTGTGTGAGCCGTGTGCGGGTAGCTCAGCTCCCCCTCACCGTCTAACCCCCTTTCTCCGCCTTCCTCCTGTCTTCCAGTTCTTCACCCCACGGGGACGCCCTTGCTGGACCTGGTGACTGACAGGCTGCCCTGGCTCAGTTATCACAGTGCTGATGCTGTCCATTCTAAAGGTACAGTACTGTGATAACTGAAGGATGGCGGCCATCTTGCCTTCCTCCCGAGAAGATGAGAGAGAACCGGGAAGCAGCCCGCTTTCTAGGCTCCAGGTGGTAGCAGGAAATCAAAGGGCGTTGCAGTTTGCCTGGTATGTAAATGCTGTGGTTCTGAGTAGATGGAAGGTCTGTGGAGCCTCGGAGTCTTTGGGAGACTGGTGTGTTACCCAAGTCCTAAGGACGGATCCGTATATCTGGAGTGGTAGGTGTGAGAGCTGAGCCGTTTTGTAAATGCAGAAGGCAACTTGCTTAACGGCTTCGCACTTAGCCCCGCACTGTTAGCTGTTCAAAGTTAAGTAGGGAGATGAGTGTTGGGTGTCAAACAGTATCGATGTCCCAGGAAAAAAATTACACCCATACTTAAGGAATGGGTAGTGACATGGCTTTTCCCAAAAAAAAAAAAAAAAAAAAAGAAAAGAAAAGAAAATGCGCGTGGAACGTCACCTCCACATGGAAACAAATCATTTTATTCTACTAAGTAGCGGAGGACCACTCTACCCGGCAGCACAGATGAGCTTCACGGATGTGGAGTTAGAGGTACCGGCCAGTATCATGGTTGCGTGAAAACCTAGACCTTAATAAAAGCGTGCGATTTCAGTCCTCGGCATCTTCGAAAGTACCATGGGTGGGGCTGTGAACACGGCTTTGTCACACGTGTTGCAGACGTGAGGACCTGAGTTTGGACCCCAGCACCCGTGTGAAAATCCAGGCGTGGTAGCAGGCATTTGTGATCCCCATTCTGGAGGGCAGAGACAAGACAGGTCCCTGGGGCTGCCTGGCCAGCTAGCCTCGGTGAATCCCCTCACCATAGTGAGACATTTCAAAAACCAAGGGAGACAGCTCCTGGGAGGAACACTGCAGGTTCCCTCTGGCTTCTTCGTGCACACACAAGGGCAAACACGCACATACATGTAGGAAGGGTACTTGGAAAAGAATAGGACTGTTAGAGGACCTGGGGTTTATCACACTCTTTCCAGTCAGCCCTCTTGCTGAGGACACTGAATACAACAAGAGTACCACGGGTGGTGACATTCTTGGGTCCCAGTTCACCGTAGGGGCCCAGATGATCACATGGAATGTGTTTTTAGGCTCCAAACTTAAACAGGGTCCTGTTCCCTCTTCACAGGCTAACGTGTCTGCCTGGGAACCTTCCCCCTGTGCATGGCTGAGTAGTGAGGGGGCGACTTCTGTGGAATCAGGCCCCATTTGAACCTAGCTGCAACAAGGACCCAGAAGGGCCAGGGAGGGCAAAACCCATGTGACTTTTAGCATATGCTGGACCCTGTGAGTGGATATTGTCACTAAGTGTTTTAGCCCATTTCTCTACCTGGACAGAAAGAGGAAAGCCAGACACTGGTCGCTATCACTGTCTCTCTGCTGGCTTAGGTTCTTTCTTCTTTCCCTTCTCCATCCAAAAAGAAGCCACGCCAGCAGTGACTTGGGTCACACCTGCTTGGCCAGAAACACACCGACCGTGTGTACAGCCCAGTGCTTCAAGTGACTTCACCCTCGCGGTTTCTCATAAACCATGAGCTGGCTAGACTGCTCTTGACCAGTGACAGAGAGGGAGGGTTGGTCTTGCAGTTCCTTGGATAGGAACTTTTGACAGAAACTCTGAAAAAAAAAATCGCGAGAAAGCTTTGGGATTGGTGAGTAATTTGAAACCCTCCTACACTTTAGTGTTTTAGCAGGTGGAAAAAAAGCTTGAAGAAGGACTGCTTTTGTAATCCTTGGCTTGCATATGGATTTCGCCACCTTCCTGACCTTCCTGTTTTCATGCTTACTGGTTTTACAAAAATTCATCAGGTTTTTTTACTTGCCTGAGCCTGACCCCAGAGGACACATTCATGTGCATGGGACATTGCAGTTGTCTTGTCCATTTTGCTCTTGCTGCAACAAAATGCCCTGACAAGCAAATGGTATGGAGAAAGGTGTTATTTTATTTTATTAAAGACATATTTATTTTTTTTTTGTGCTTTGCATGTATGTCTGTGTGGGGGTGCCAGGTTCTCTAGAACTGGAATTAGCTATAAGCTGCCATGTGGGTGCAGGGAATTGAAGCTGGGTTCCCTGGAAGAGCCACCTTCCCAGCCCCCAGAAAGGGTTTATTTGAAATCACAGTTCTAGATTATAGTCTCATCATAGCAGGGGAGGCAAGGCATCAGGAGTGTGAAGCAGCTGGCCACATTCTAATCATAGTCAGAAGGAGAGAGCAATGAGTGTGTGTACACTAGTGCTCTGTTTACTTCCTGCCTCGTTACACCATCCAGGATTGCCTGCCTAGGGAATGGTACCAAGCAGAATGGGCCTCTCTTCCACCTCAGTTAATGTAATCAAAGGATTGCCCCATCCTCAGGCATGCCCAGAAGCTTCCTGCCCCCGAGGTGATTCTAGGTTATGTCAAGTTTACAGAACTGTAGCAACAATATTGGCTGTCATTTGGGCAGGAGTCAGGCTGAGTCAGGAGAACTGAGGCAGTGGCTCCAGATGCTCACCCAGGCCTAGGGTCTTTGAAAACTTTGGGGTTTTCAAAAAGCTGGGTGTGGTACACACCTGTAATCTCAGCTCTCAGGAGGCGTAGTGTGAGGATTAACCGTGAGTTCAAAGCCAGTTTGGTGTCTGTAAGCCTGGTCTATAGAGTGCCAGACCAGGCAGGGTTACATAGTAAGGTCCTATTTCAACAACAAGAAGGATAAAGATTTAAGAAGGATGATTTAAGAAGCTGGTGGGCAGCCAGGTGGTGGTGGCACATGCCTTTAATCCCAGCAGAGGCAGGCGGATCTCTGTGAGTTCGAGGTCAGCCTGGTCTACAAGCGCTAGTTCCAGGACAGGTACCAAAGCTACAGAGAAACCCTGTCTCGAAAAAACCAAAAAAAAAAAAAAAAAAAAAAAAAAAAAAAAAGCTGGTGGGCAGCCCATTACATATCTCTGCATGTCCAAAAGAAGTGAAAAGAAGGGGCGGAGGGAGATCTTTGCATATCCATATTCATAAATAACCTTATTAGAAGTAAAAGAAGGGGGAGAGCCACCCAAGTGCCTGTGGATGGATGAAAGCTGCATTAAGTACAGTAATACTAGGCATTTAAAGAGAAGGGAATTGGGACACACCATCCACCATGGGTTGACGCTGGTGCTATGCTAAGTGAAGGCATAGATAGGGTATGACTAGAAAAGGTTACTATTACCAGAGTCCAGAACAAGGAGGAAGTGGGGGATTTGTACTAAAGCAGACAAAGTTTTATTTGGAGAGGATGATGGTACATGAATGTACTGGATGCCCACAAGATTGCCTACCTAAAAAGCCAAGTTCTGTGTATATCAACAATAAAACATTTAGGGTGATGATGCTGTTGGATGCCCGGCATGCTGCCTCAATTTCCATTGTAAAGATCACAAAGGTACTGTTCAAAGCAGTTAAAATGTAATTGTCATGTCTTTTTTGTGTTTAAAGTTCTCAAATCTGTAGCCCCTTGGGTATATTTCCAGACATAAGGCGGCTTTAGTTTAGTTAAACAGAAAAACAAGAGCATTAAAAACAGAATGAGAAAGGCCCCATTCTGCTGGCAAAAGTGAGCAACACTGGATTTCAGGCAGTCTCCTTGGCTTGGGCTTCTGTGGTACAGTAGTAAAGATAAAAATTACATCCATCTATCATACAACAAAAGTATATGCTCTACTATGTTCATAGCAGCATTGTTTGTAATAACCAGAACCTGGAAACAACCTAGATGCCCTTCAATTGAAGAATGGATAAAGAAAGTATGGAATATATACATATTAGAGTACTACTCAGCAGTAAAAAACAAGGACTTCTTGAAGTTTGCAGGCAAATGGATGGAAATAGAATACACTATCCTGAGTGAGGTAAGCCAGACCCAAAAAGAGGAACATGGGATGTACTCACTCATATTTGGTTTCTAGCCATAAATAAAGGACATTGAGCCTATAATTCGGGTTCTTAGAGAAGCTAAATAAGAAGGAGAACCCAAAGAAAAACATATAGGCATCCTCCTGAATATTAACCTTCATCAGGCGATGAAAGGAGACAGAGACAGAGACCCACATTGGAGCACCGGACTGAAATCTCAAGGTCCAAATCAGGAGCAGAAGGAGAGAGAGCACAAGCAAGGAACTCAGGACCGCGAGGGGTGCACCCATACACTGAGACAATGGGGATGTTCTATCAGGAACTCACCAAGGCCAGCTGGCCTGGGTCTGAAAAAGCCTGGGTCAAAACTGGTCTCGCTGAACATAGCGGACAAGGAGGACTACTGAGACCTCAAGAACAATGGCAACGGGTTTTTGATTCTACTGGACCTATTGGTTTCGTGGGAGCCTAGGCAGTTTCGTGGATGCTCACCTTACTAGACCTGGATGGAGGTGGGTGGTCCTTGGACTTCCCACAGGGCAGGGAACCCTGATTGCTCTTTGGGCTGACGAGGGAAGGGGATTGATCGGGGGAGGGGGAGGGAAATGGGAGGCGGTGGTAGGGAAGAGACAGAAATCTTTAATAAATAAAAATTACATCCATCTCTTGGGCCTTCGAGATGGTTCAGAGGGTAATGGTCCTTAGCAAGTTGCAGTCATTCCTTGGAACCCTTGCAAAGGTGGAAAGAAAACCTGACTCCACAGAGTTGTCCTCTGACCTTTACATGTTTGTCCAGATCTACATCAGTACACTAATAAATAATGAAAAAAATTATAATTATCTTCAAAGTAATGAAGTGTACGTTATTTCTTAGGACATAAACCTACAGCATTCATGTCTGAGGTAATAGCATATTGTTTTATTTGAATGGTGGTAATTCTGTTTTAACAAACCTCAGATACAGCCAGTTCATTGAATGGTAATAAATTATAAGAATATTTAGAAAAAGCCAGCCAGTGGTGGTGGTGGCATATGTCTTTAATTCCAGCAGTTGGGAGCAATTGGGAGCAGGAGAATATGAGTTCAAGGTCAGCCTAATCTACAAAGCAAGTTCCAGCACATCCAGGGCTACACAGAGAAACCCTGTCTCAAAAATACAAACAAAACAAAAAGCCACAATAGTTGGGATACTGGGCCACCCTTACCAGACCACTGGGCCTTCTACAACAATCAGCACTGGAGTCCGAGCAAATTGCTAGCTTTGTTTTGTTTTTCTTTTGGGCAGCTAACTCTTGTTAATGCCACACAGACTTCAAATGTTTTGCTGTGCCTAGGACATTGTAAGCCCTTGTAATAGCAAGCTAATTACATTGTGACAAACTATTGTTCTTAGGTTTTATTGCTTTCTGATCAGTTGCTCTTTGGGGCAACAAGCAGCCTATGTTTCGGAGCTTTCCATTATTATTTTTGTTTAGGTTTTGTTTTGTTTTTGAGAGAGTCTTAATGTAGCCCACGCTCACTGGTGATGACCTTGAACTGAAGATCCTTCTACTTGTCTTAGTGTAAAGCACTCCATATGCTCAGTGCTCTGCTGTACACGAAAGGGGAACTAGGCTGGAGACTTAAAAACATACAAACACACATAGAGAGACACAGGGACACGGGTCATCTTTGATACAAGAATGTCAACCTTATTATGCTCAGGGGCAGCTTATGTAGGGCTCTGACCACGCCTCAGCTCTCAGGATCTTTCAGCTGCAAAACCCACCAGAATTTACTCCCCTGCCTTCAGGGTCTCATGCTCAGAGCAGCTGCAGGGACAGCTAAACAAGTTGTTTTGCTCAGTTCACTCCAGCAGGCAAAGAAAGTCAAGGGGCCAGGGGTCTGCAGCTCCCAACAGCTCCCCCTTTTCTATATAATTAGACCAGGCCTCTCTTGGGTTGCAGAAGCGTATGACAGGCTCCTTTCTTACCCATCTCTGGTTCACTGGTCTTTCCATAGCCTGCTAACCCATACTGCTCTCGAAGGAAGCCCACTTTCTTGGGCAAATAGTGATTTTACATTGCTGATGCTGCTACTGACGCGTGTTGCAGAGGCAGAGCAACAGAAACCGTCAGGCAACAGGAGTTCCTATGGCCTGCTGTTCAGCAAGCCTAGGCCATATGGGAATGGCTGGACTGGCATGGGCGTGACGCAAGTATAACGAAAGGAAAGGGAGCAGCCAACCATATACTCCAACTGCTCTTATAAAAGAAGGTCTATAGGCCAAACCGAAAAATGCCCTGGCAAAAATTATATAGGGAATTCTGGATCTCTAAGGCAGTGGCAACCTGTCTGGCTAGGGGATCAACAGGGCTAGCCACAGCAGTCATCTGACTGGTGGCAATTTCAGTTGTCTTGGAGGCCGCAGCGGTGACAGTAGCAGCCACCCACAGTGATGGTGATCCCCAAGTCTCAGCCAGGAGGGCTCAGCACCAGTTGACTCAATGGAAGAGGCACCAACCCCGGAACCCAGGCACAGCGGCAGTCGTCTCGTTAGCCCAACAGCTGTTGAAAAGACACAAAACTTGAGAACAATTAAGGGCAGAATCATTAATTAGCCACAGACAGCCGCATGAGACGCCCTATTTTGGCTCTGGTTTTCCATCTTGCTGTGCTATTAAAAAAAGGTAGAATCCTGCACAGCCAAGGGTCCAAAATTTAAACAGGCATGAAGCCCACAAAGATACCATCCCGTGAAGGTAGACACTACACCACACTGGGCTGGATTTCTAAAACGAAACTCCTGAGAATCCTTGCTAACATTCTTGTAAAGTGATCATGGTCCCCATCACTACAATAAATAATGCTCTCTGGCCATACATCCTAGTAGAAAATTCAGCAAAAATAAAACACAAACTGCCAGATAGTCTCCATAACTGATCCTCCTGCCTTTGCCTTCTTCAGCAAATCCTATCGGGGTACACCAGTACAACTGGCAGGAGCAGCAGGCTGTGTACTGACGGGCAGCCCAGTGGGGTCTGAGCAGCTCTGGCCTGCCCCGGCTCCAGCATTTGCCACTGTGGTAACCGATGCCCCTGGCACCACCTGCCGCGGTTCCACCAGGCAGGCACCGACTGTGCCGGGGTAACATGCCTTCCACCAAACGCTGCTGGGAGCCTGTGCAGCAGGCAGGCTTGCACTCAGGAATTGTGGAAGGGGTCCAAGCTTGCTGCCTGCACACAGCTTGTCCCTGCTCCTCAGGCCCACAGTGGCAGACAGGCTCCCGAGCCCTACTTCCTCCAGTAAACAACCATTTAGAGAATTTGGGCATCATTTCTTTGTAAACTACTTCCTGCTGTTTATTGGGTGAAATATCTTTGAGGGTATTTACAGCGACATTTCAGGGGGGCTTGGTCCATCAAACCACATTAGCCTGGAATGAATCCACAGGTTCTCATTCTCTGTGGACACAGAAGCAGAACCTCTTTTCCAAAGCAACAAATCCATGGGCCCGTATTTTACAGTCAAGATACCTTTCTTAGCAGTTCCCAGAATCAAATGTCTTTCTCCAGCCAAAAAAAAAAAAAACCAAAAGACAACACAGTAATATACATAATACAAATTCTCTGTGCATGTTGCATCTTTACATGGCTTATTATTATTTACTCTGTCTCTTTAAAAACTTATTCTTTCTCTTCCATTCTTCTTGAGGCCTTCAATTCACCCTCCCCCCTCCTCTTTATTACTTTCCTGTTGGCCAACCTTCTGGATGGCGTCCCTCAGAGAACCTCTAGTTGCCAGGCTCAGCGGTGACTCCTGCTGTGGCACCTGCACCCCCTGGAACTGCTATTGGGGAAGAGCCTGGGGATGAAAGACACACATAGACACATACCCATCTTCAATCTACCCTCACCATTCCCGAGGGTGGTCTCTTAGCATCTCCCTAGTTCCCCGATCTCGCTGGGAGCCTCCACTTGTAAAACACTGTGTCTGCTCTATGTTCTATGTTATGTTATGCAAGCTGGGAACTAGGCTGAAGACTTAAAAACATACAAACACACACAGACAGGCAGAGACACAGGGACAAGGGTCATTCTTGATGCAAGAATGCCAATTTTATTATGCTCGGGCAGATTATATAGGGCTCTGGCCACACACTCCAGCTCTCAAGATCAGCTGCAGGCCTCACCAGAACCCACTCCCCTGCCATCAGGGTCTTGTGCTCAGAGCAGCTGCAGGCACAGGTAAACAAGTTGTTTTGCTCAGTTCACTCCAGCAGGCAAGGGGTCTGAGGCAGGCAAAGAAAGTCAAGGGGCCGGGGGTCTGCAGCCCCCAACATCTTAGTTTGGGTTTTCATTGCTATGAAGAAACATCATGGCCACAGCAACTCTTATAAAGAAAATATTTAATTGGGGTGGCTTGCTTACAGTTTGAGAGGTTCAGTCCATGCTGGGGAGCATGGCGGCATATAGACAGACATGGTACTGGAAGAATAGCTCAGAGTCCTGCATCTTGCAGGCAGCAGGAAGTCAACTAAAACACTGGGCCTTATCCTAAGCATAGGAAATCTCAAGGCCTACCCGCACAGTGACAGACTTCCTCCAACAAGGCCATACCGATGCCAAGAAAGCCACACCTCCTAATAATGCCACTCCCTGAAATTATGGGGGCCAATTACATTCAAACTACCACATATACCTTCCAAATCCTGGGATTACAGGCCTGCAACACCTTGCTGTTTCGTACAGTGCTGGGGAGAAAACTCAGGGCTTTGTGTGTGCTAGGTAATCACGCTACTAGCTGAACCACATGCCCAGCCCTTGACGTGTTTTTTTTTAAACTTTATTTATTCTTCGAGTCTTTTACATCATGCATCTCAGTGCCTTACATTTCCCCATCCCTTTATATCTGCCCTTGCAACCCCCCCAAAATAGAATTTAAGACAAAAAGAGAAAAAAATAAAAGGACAAATCAATCTCATCGCAGAAGCTACAGTGTGACATACTGAGTCAAGGCGGTAAACCCTTTTATTCTTAGATCTTTACTTGCAAGTGTTCATTGCAAGGCATCATTAGTTTGGTTCAAGGCATCTGGTTTCTACTACTCCATCAATTGTGGACTCCCACTGGGACTCCTCTTGGATATCCTATTGTTGTCCTGTGTCATGGAGGTCCTGCAGCTTTGGGTCTGCATGACTGGTCCCTTCACACGCTCCAGCAGATCACAGATGAGGTGGATGTTGGGGTGGGCCAGGTCATAACCCTGGTTCTGGGCCTGGGTAGTTGCAGGGTTGGTCTGCCTGCCTTGGCCTGGTTTCTCACTGAAGCATGGACTGTCTTGAAACTCAACGCAGTCCTAGTACTTGAATGCTGGGGTTACTGGTGTGAGCCAACACACATGGCTGATTTTTTTTTTTAAAAAAAAAATTGTTTCCTTCTGGAGAAATGGCAGATACTTAATGTAGATAGCCTGCCCGTAAGGAGGTGGAACATACTCCACACTGTCACATTTGGGCTGTAGATACTGACTTCTTTCTAAAGAATGAAGAGTGGCCAAGGGGACGACAGCAGTGAATAAACAGGATTTGTATGACCTTAGCCATGTACTCAAGGTCAACAACAGTGAGCGAGTGCATTCAGTAGGGTGTGATGACATGGCACTTCGTTCTGTGGTCTCTTCTGAAAACTCAAAAAGGCGTGAAAACACTCAAACCCAGCTTTGTACTAAACATCTGACCAGAACTACCAAGAACCACAATGGTAATCAAAAACAAGGAACTCTAGTGGGCGTGGTGGCACACAGTCTCAGCACTGGGGAGGCAGAGGCATATAGATTTCTGAGTTCTGCTAGCTTAGTCTACAGAGTGACAGATACCCTGTCTCCAAGCATAAAACACATACACAGTAACAAAACAAAACAAAACAAAACAAAGAAACTTCTGTTTCAGCGAAAGTTGCCTGCGAAGAAATGAAGACTAAATTCGGTGGATGTAGCCCAGCTCCTAGATGAGATAAAACCAACGTCACTAGGAAAGAAATAGGAACTATGAGTAAAGCAGGGATAAAAGCAAGGGTAACACGGCAGGACTGGTCCACTGACCATAATAAATGACACTTGTCAGGATGTTTGGGAGGCACCATGTGAGACCTCCCTAGGAGCTTCATCATGTTTCTGCAGATCTAAAGTTGTTAAACACTCACCAGAAAACAGACTGCAGGAGAAACGTCTTTTCTGTGCAGCTCCCTTCTTCGGACACAGTTCCTGCTCAGCGGACGGGAGTCCACTTTGTCTTCTTATTGCTCAGTCCGGCACACGACTCCCACAGGTGCTAGAAGAGCCACAGATGAGAAGGCCTGCCCGGGACATTCTCACTCTCTTTTGGGTTGGAATAAAGGCCTGTATTGTAAAGTGTGACCTGAGCGAGTTGGCCTGCCTGGGATGGAGTGAGGGGGGTTATATCTTTATGGGCTTGGACTACTCCTGTACTTTTGTTTTCCAGGAGCTTGGGAGATGAGTGATGTCGAAAAGCATGAAGCAGGCGAGTTCTCATTTACTTAGAAAATTCATGTCCTCTTTCTGCTGCTGTCTTTGAAAAGAGGTGGCTGAATTTCTATGATTACCATTGATGGAGATAGTTTCTTGGCACCGCTGCCTGGCATTGGTATTCTCGTTTTGAAAAGAGTGTCTTGAGGCTGAGACAGTCTTGGGGGCTATTAGTGGTTGCTGCCCAGAATGTTACTGAGGTTTTTGCTGCTGTGCCCACACAGCCACCTCTTCTGGGATCCTCCAGCAGTGCTGGGGGCTCGGACTGAGGAGCAAGGCTTCATGTCTGATGGTTGCCCGTGTATCATAAGACAGCAGCTTTGATACAGTAGTTTAGGTCCTCCAGGAAGGCAGAAGTTTCCAGAGTTAACTGTTAGTGCGGGCTGACTTCTAGAAAGGTATGCCTTGGGACTAGGGAGCCGCTTTTGTGAAGGGCCTCAACAGAGCTTTAATAACAAAGTTTAACAGTGGAATGTGTATTGTCGAGACACGAGTCTTCCTCATTCCCCGTTGTCTCATTTCTGTGAAGAGGAATCCAGTTGAGGCTGAGTGTAGTGATCCAGGTCAAGCACTTGCCCAGCATGCTGTGGCCCTGGGCTTCGTCCTCTGCACTAGTGGGGAAAGGCCACCTGCCAAGTCTCAAACTTATTCTAATCTCATTTTTCTAATAGAAAATTTGCTACTTTAATGAGCTTTCATCAGTCCCTTGTGTAATTGTGTGTGTTTCTGTGAAACAAGTAGTTAAAAAATGCTTTTCCCTATTTATTATTGACTTATTTATTTCTTATTGGTTTTTAAAAAGAGTTAAAGGGTAGTTCAGGCTGGCAATCAAACTCATGGAAATCCCGCTTTAGACTTCCAAGTGCTGAAACCAGCAGGAGCCGCCGCCTAGCCCTTTTAGTTTTTGATTGACAGGATTGTTTGGTTAAGGTAAGTCAATATTTGTTGAGCAGCTGTGCAGTTAGTCACCCCATTTCACCCTTGAAGAGTAGAAGAGTTTGCATAACGAAACACCTGAGGATGCTCCAAGTCCCCAAGTCACACTGCTAAGGAGTGGAAGAGTAGAAGTATGAACTCAGAAAATACAGACACACACACACACACACACCATGCCCGCATGTATGTGCATGCCAAGCACACAAATGTAAGTTATGTAAGCTAATATAACATTGCTTTGGAAGTTGTCGCACTGCGTATTTACACAGGAAAGCCATGAGGTCAAAGGACAACCTTGTGGGCTTAGTTCATTCTTTTCACCTTTACCTGGGTTCCAGGGATGGAACCCTGTTTGCCAAGTTTATGAAACATGAGCCTTTACCCGCCAAGCAATGTTGCTGCCCCCACTTGGCTTTTGGATATCATAATATAAGTGACATTTTGGAACAACTAGATCAGGCATGTGTAAAATCACTGTGAAACCTTCCGCCACACACATTGTCTTCTTATATCTACTCCAGGCTGGCCTTGAACTTGTGGCTAAAAGTGGTCCTCCTAGCCACGGCCCCCTTTCTTCAGTTCAGGGCTTGCAGGGAGTTACTGCCACCCCCAGTGTCTGCTGTGCCGGAGATCAAACTCAACATGCTAGACAGTGTCCTTAGAGCATGCTAGGTAAGTACCCTGCCGGCTGAGCTATGTTGTTTTTCCTTCGGCTTAGAGACTGCACCTGAATCTACTGATTTACCATCTGCAGCCCCGTGGCCCCACAATCTGTCCCCGCTACTCAGGCTGTGGCCACTACTGCCAAATGTACTTTTAACTAAGTCTCTTTCATTCTACTTGCCAATAAGGACTTAGGAGTCAGATGTAGGGGTAACTAGCCCAGAGAGGTCAAGAGGCAACCAGCTGACATCTTTTTGGCCAGAGACCCAGCAAGTGAGCATCTCTCCAGTCATCCCAAACCAAAAAGACCCCAAAACTCCCAAGTCCCTCCCTACTTCCTGTAAGTCTCGCTATCTGTATTCCTGGCACCTCCGTGCTCTCTATGGCTAATTCCTGTCAGCTAGCTGCTGGCTCTCTGCCCCTCACACCCCCATCCAAGGTTAATTCTATTAACACAGTCTCTGGTTTCACAGTGTGAACAAATATCCCGCAACAGAGCTACATCCCCTGCCCTAGGTACTTCAGAAGTTTTTCCGTAACTGGACAGTGGTGGTGCATGCCTTTAATCCCAGCACTTGGGAGACAGAGGCAGGCAGATAGGCAGATTTTTGTAAATTCGAGGCCAGCCTGGTCTAGAACATGAATTCCAGGACAACCAGGGTTACAGAGAGAGAGAGAGAGAGAGAGAGAGAGAGAGAGAGAGAGAGAGAGAGAGAGAGAGAGAGAGAGAGNAGAGAGAGAGAGAGAGAGAGAGAGAGAGAGAGAGAGAGAGAGAGAGAGAGAGAGAGAGAGAGAGAAAGCAAACCCTGAGTTTGACATGCTTGTGATGGTCCCTAGAGTGAGTTCTATGCGGGCAGGAATCAGGACACCCCCAGAGGTCCCAGAAGCTGGCATGAGCTGCATGTGGTTTGCAGAACTCTAAGCCGTGTGAGGCCTGGGTGGAATCTTTCCTGTTTTCTGAGAATGGGCGAGAAGAGCGAAGAAGGTGCTTTCCATCCCCGCTTCCCAGGTTCCAAGAGTGGCTCCAGCCCGAAGCTTGCATCTTTCTACAGATGCATCAGAAGATGTGATCCCAGCAGAGCCAGCTCCCAGTTGCTCCTGTTTCTCATACCCATGCAGGAGGCCAGGGTAATAATGTCTCTCCCTGGGAGAACTGCTCTCAGAGCATCAATTTGGGGACCGTCATCTGAAAATTGGGGAGCCACTGTCTTAAAAAGGATACTTCTCACCCAGGGTGTGGGAAGCTAGGAGGAGAAAGGGAAAGAAATGGGGGGGGGGGGCGGAGACACTGTCTTTGGTGAGGTAGAACCATAGAAGCAGTTGAAAATAGGCCCATGTTTTATTCACTGAGTGAAACTCTAGATGGATTTATTCATTGAGAGGAGAAAAAGACACACAGTGTCCCTTCAGATAGAGGCTTGCATGCCCGCCCACACACACACTTAGTGCTCAGAGATGTTAAGAAGCAGTGCAGTTCTGGGATTTTGAGGCACGGTGAATGAACGTCCACCACTGTTTCTCCTCTTTCTCTATAAAGCAAATGCCAAATCTGTGGAACAGCAAGATGGCCCAGTGGTTACATGTGCTTGCTGCTAAGTCTGATGGCCTGCGTTCAATCCCCAGAACCCAAATGGTTGAAGGACAAAATGGACTTCCATAGACTGTCCTCTGACTTCCACATGCCTAACGGGGCACGTGTGGGCATGCATATGCAAACACAATCAATACATGAGTATAACAACTTACAAAGCAAAAATCAAAACAACAACTTAGCAAGACAGTAGAATCCAGTGGGCACATTTGTCCAGAGAGACCTGAATGGGTGAGCACCTAGACTGACATCCCGGAGGGAGGGTGCAGGGAACCCGCGTCTTCACCATTGTTCTCTGTGCGCAGTGGTGTCTTGGTCACTTTCTGTTGCAGTGATAAGCACCATGACCAAGGCGACATACAGAAGCTTAATTCTGGCTTGCCGTTCCAGAGGGTTACAGTGGATCATGGCGGGGACATGGCCGTAGGTGGCAGGCATGATGGCAGAAAAAAGAAGCTGAGAACGCGCACCCTCAACTGTGAGAGAGAGAGAGAGAGAGAGAGAGAGAGAGAGAGAGAGAGAGAAAGCAGAGTGGCCTAAGGTTTAGAAACCTCAAAGCCTGTCCCCAGCGAGGCTGCATATATAGTTGGTACTGAGGACTAAGTGTTTCAAGTGTCAGGGCCTATGAGGGACATTTCTCATTCAAACCACCACATACAGACGCACTAAGACAACCATAATAAAGACTCATCTGTCATAAAATAATAACACTTTATTTACGTGAGCTCATGTGTTGACAGATGCATTTGGTTGTGGGGACCAGAGGACCTTCTTGTGTATTTTTTCTCAGGTCCCACCAAGCATTCATTCATTCATTCATTCATTCATTCACTACAGTGTTTCTTAGATTGTGTTTCTGACACATTAAAATATCTCTTGACTAACATTTTTTTAAACTGTAGCTCTGGGAGAGTGCTTTCTTATCCTGTACAAAGGATGTGTTCAATTCCCAGCACCACATAAAACAAAGCTGCAATCCTAACGCCTGAGAGAAAGAGGCAGGAAGATGAGAGATTCAAGATCGCTTTTACTACAAAGCAAGTTCAAACTCAACCTGGGCTGCATGAGTCCCTGTCCTTAAAAAAAAAAAAAAAAAAGAAGCCATCAGAATGCAGAGCATGCAGTAGGGTGCTTTGGGAAATGCACTTGTCTGCATGTGTGTGTGTGCTGGGGATTTGTGTGGTGGGACACAGCTGTACTCTGCAGTGTGGCTTCCAGTCAAGCTGTTCTACTGATCACATATTAGGCCTAGGCAGATCATCTCATTCTGTGCCTCAGAGACTGAAGCCAGTTAGGGCAGAAATTTGTTCAGGTCACCAGGAGCACGGCAGGATCAGAATCTGGGCCTCGGTCTCTGTAGGCGGATATTTCTGTCCCTCCTACAGCTCCCAAATCACAGCACAGTGTAAACAGAGACTGCACTTTCGATTCCTGGCTGCCCAGATCCGAATAATCACACAGAAACTATATTAATTACAACACTGCTTGGCCAATGGCTGAGGCATAGCCCTAGCTAGCTCTTGCATCTTAAATTAACCCATTTTTATTATTTTATATATTACACTGTAAACAGTAAGGTTCTAGCATCTTTCTCCTTCAGCAGCTACATGGTGTCTCTCTGACTCCACCTTCTTTCCTCTTCTTCCTCTCTCTCTCTGCTTGGATTTCCCACCTTGCTATATTCTGCCCTGTCATAGGCTAAAGCAACTTCTTTATTAACCAGTGATAATAAAGCATATTCATAGCATACAGAGAGAAATCACGCGTCAACACAGAGACTTCTTAGTTATGAAAGCTTGGCTGATACCTTAGTCTTGGTCCTAACTTATGGGCAGAGTTTCTCTGTGGCTTGGCAGTTGCTCCCAAATAACCATCCAGAGGCCTGGAGAGATGACTCAGAGGTTAAGAGCATTGCTTGCTCTTCCAAAGGTCCTGAGTTCAATTCCCAGCAACCACATGGTGGCTCACAACCATCTGTAATGGGGTCTGGTGTCCTCTTCTGGCCTGCAAGCATACACACAGACAGAATGTTGTATACATAATAAATAAAAAAAAAACAAATAACCATCCAGAGACTTAAGATTACTTATAAATGATTGACCAATAGCTTAGGCTTGTTTTTTAGCTAGCTCTTATAATTTAAATTGTTGAAATAAGGAGCGGCGGGGCTGCGTCCCCAACACCCCGGCCGCTTGCTAGCTCATGCCCGAAATAACAACACACAAACTGTATTCATTTAAGAACTGCTTGGCCCATGAACTCTAGCTTTTACAGGCTAATTCTCGCACCTGGACTAGCCCATTTCTAGTAATGTGTGTAAGCACCCCAAGATGCGCTTACCGGGAAGATTCTAGCCTCCGTCCATCCTGGGTTTGAGCTTCATGTGTCTGCCTCAGAGCGCAGAGCTATCGTGTCTATCCACCAGAGCTGAGCATGGCGTCTCTGCTCCAGAGAGCAGAGCTGTCAGGTCTCTCTGGGAGCAGAGCAGAGCAGAGTCTGACCTCACTTCCTCTTCCGCCCAGAATCCTATTCTGTTTACTCCTCCCACCAATGCTTTAACCTATGAGGCCAGCCAAGCAGTTTCTTTATTGCTCAATGACCTTCCTCCATCATTAAATTAACCCATTTTTATGTGTGCTGCCCTGGGCTCATTTACCTCATCTATGGAATTTCATGTTGCTTCTTTTGAGTCTAGCTTGTGGCTCCTCAGACTCTGCCCTTCTTCTTCCCAGCATTCTTTCTGCCCCCAAAATCCTATTTACCTAATGACCAATCAGCTTTTTAGCAACAATGAGAGCAACACATTTCACAGTGTACAAGAACGATTATTGTATAGCACGAACTAGTTTTTTTGATGTTGGTGGTGTTTTTTTGTTTGTTTTTTGTTTTTTTCTTTTTTAGTCAGGGTTTCTCTGTAGCTTTTGGAGCCTGTCCTGGAACTAGCTCTTGTAGACCAGGCTGACCTTGAACTCACAGAGATCTGCCTGCCTATGCCTCCCGAGTGCTGGGATTAAAGGCATGCGTCACCAGTGCCCGGCTTCTA